ATATATATATATATATATATATATATATATATATATATAAATAATTATGAAATTACTCATGCAGATGTTTTTGACCTGCTTAAGTAGTAAAGGTAAAAAAAAAAAAATGCAACACACATGAGTATAGTACAACACAGCACAGCACACACAGAAGCCACACAAACAATAACACACCTCATAACACAACACAGCTCATTCAGTAAATCAGCAGCTATATAAGGTCTATAGAAACATCTGGTTAAACACATTTATCACCCTCTTCTTCAGCAAACACCACATTAATCCAGATTAAAGTCTGGTCTCATCGCTTAATCTATCACATCCTTCTTCTCTCACTTTACAGAGCAAGATAAAGAGGAGAGAGAAACCCTGATCACCATCATGAAGACCTTGATTGACTTTGTGAAGATGATGGTCAAATATGGAACCATCACACCTGAAGAAGGAGTGTCTTATCTGGGTAAGACCAAAGTTGTCTGTCCACCTTATTTTTGACAAGAGTGGACACAGCCATTTTTAATTAGAATGTTCAAGGCTTCTGGTGTCAAAAAAAAACACTAGTTTGTAGTGCAAATAGTTGCAATGTTTAATGCACTTATTATTCTAGTTATGCATATGTGTGTTTACTGCACGTTATTCTTCTATTTATTTATCTATAGCGGCTAATGAAACTGAAGTCTTGCACATTCACAGGAAATATCTTACATCTATTTGTGTTAAACAAGAAATTTATTCTGATTGGTGATTATTACTTTTAAAAAAGAGCACTGATTACGAAAATAATGTAGTTTAAAATAAATTAAAAGTAAGTAAAATACTGAAGTGCAAACTAAATGTAATGTTTTTGAATAGTAAAAAAATGTATAAAAATGTATTAAGTTTAAATAGATATTAAAGGCACTTCATAGGTTTTAAAAATTTTTGTACCCATTTAAGTACATCTTTACATGTAATTTCATGATTACTTCTATTGTCTTTGAAATATGATTATAAAAATATGAAAATATGCTTTAATATCAATACCCTTAATATTTGTAATTACACATTTGCACAAGGATCGCAGTATAGTACTTTTAAAATATAGTACATAAATGTAATATTGAGTAACACTACAGTTAAAATTATAATCAAGCACGTTACATATGGTTTAATATCTTAGTCAACACATCAAAATAAGTTTACATTAAAGCCTAACAAAATATTATTAAAAACATGACTTAAAATGTACTTTAAAGTAAAAAAAAATAATAATTAGACGTTACTTAAGTGTACTTAAGTGTGTTGAAAAACATAGTCATGAAACTGTACTCTCTTCGAGTACACCTAAGTGGACCTTTATTTCATTAATAATATATTATCTGCAAGTTGTTGTTGTTTTTTAAACATGCTTTTAAGATTTGAAGTATAATGTTGATTTTTAATAATTGTTTGTTTGGAAAAACATTCCCTGTGATTAATATGACTCATACCCGTTTGTTTGACAGGCAGATGAATTGAATTTCACACACTGGTGCTAATAGTTTGACATCAGTCCATGTTTGTAGGTATATCTGTGATTAAAGGCAGAATATCACAAACTTTTTTTAGTGGACTGAAACCCACAATCTAAACAATCCACTTTTTACACCCATTTATGGTTTACTGCTACCTTCTCATTGTAGGCTACAAAGTAGTTTCGCTTTCACAACGAAACACACAATGACATGGCGCCGTCGGCAACAACAATACTACAGCGAGAATAAAAGTTACGCCTTCTTTCTTTGCATGAACATTTGGGGCGGCGTTATGCAAATCTTCCCACACAGTGACGTAGACATGTGGGGGCGTGTTTAAACAAGGCGATTTAGGCGGGCGTGGACAAGTCTTAACTTTTATAAAGAATATCTCTTTGGATTTGAGACTTTAGTCTTTGCAACTTTACAGATCTTCTTTATGCACCAAGAGCTTGTAACACTCCAAAAAGAAAGGAAAAATTGAAATCGCATCATATGACCCCTTTAATAGACCTGGGCTGCGTTTCTCAAAAGCATTGTGAGCTAAGGTGACCGTAGAGAACATTGGTGGCAATGGTTCTACGATCTATCTAACACATCTCTGAACTAACAATGAACAGTTGTATCTTTAACTAACAATTAATAAATACTGTAGCAAATTTCTTGATCGTTGTTAGTTAATAATGTTAACTAAAGGGACTTTATTGTAAAGTGTTAGCAGAAAAATAGTCTCCAAAATGCTTGTGATGCTTACAATATCATCAGGGTATTTATAAATATCATGTTTTTCACACAGAAAATCTGGATGAAATGATTGCCCTGCAGACCAAGAACAAGCTGGGCAAATCTCTGGTTCCTCTCGGCATTACACCCCCTACAGGTAAATCAGACACACCACAGATTATAACACTGCAATCTGCAAGTCATTCACTGCAGATTCTGCTGAGGAAGACTTGGCATCACTATACTGTTTTTTTCCCCCATCATTGCTCCCTCGTTCCAGGAAAACCATTGGATGATGATGACAACACCAAAACAGAAGCTGGCAAAATGCAGAAGGAGTATGAGTCTCTGAAAGACTCAACCAAAGACGTCCAGACTGCTGCTGAAATCAGTGAGTAATACAAGGATCCTGTATCGTCTTCACATGTTTCTGGTTTGGGATGATATTCTGCTGGTGTAATTGAGCTGTTTAACTGAACTCTCTATAGCAGTCGAGGCAGATACACTGATAAGCCTGTATCAAATACAGAATTCAGCACTAACCTGCGGTTCCACTGGAAATATGCAGTCAGACTGCAGTGTGTGAGAGAGAGTCAGTCCCATAGGGAGACTCTGCAGCAGCAGCAGTCCGGCAGATTGAGGGTATCACTGTAACACATTCACGGTGAACTAACAGTATAATGAATAAAACCATGAGGCCTTGTTCAGGGAGACTTTTATTGATTCTTTGAAAAGCACTGAACATTAATGTTAAAAGCTGTGATAATCACCGTCGGTTATTACCCAAGAAGCATTTAGAACACACCCATTATACATTAATTCTGCTTTCATGTTTGAATTGCAACAGTTACGAGATGACAACTCAGAACTTATGCACTTACGGATATCATTTGTTACTATAGCTACGCTCATAAAACTTTTCATAAAAATTGTCCATGTACAGCTTGGTATTTAATGACAAAAAAAAGAACACTTGCTAATCTAAAAAAATGAATAATTCAACTTGATATCCTCTTGCAAAATATTGAGCATTGCATACGAGGTATATACAGTGGGTACGGAAAGTATTCAGACCCCCTTAAATTTTTCACTCTTTGTTATATTGCAGCCATTTGCTAAAATCATTCAAGTTCATTTTTTTTCCTCATTAATGTACACACAGCACCCCATATTGACAGAAAAACACAGAATTGTTGACATTTTTTGCAGATTTATTAAAAAAGAAAAACTGAAATATCACATGGTCCTAAGTATTCAGTTGTGCTGTGACACTCATATATTTAACTCAGGTGCTGTCCATTTCTTCTGATCATCCTTGAGATGGTTCTACACCTTCATTTGAGTCCAGCTGTGTTTGATTATACTGATTGGACTTGATTAGGAAAGCCACACACCTGTCTATATAAGACCTCACAGCTCACAGTGCATGTCAGAGCAAATGAGAATCATGAGGTCAAAAGGAACTGCCTGAAGAGCTCAGAAACAGAATTGTGGCAAGGCACAGATCTCGCCAAGGTTACAAAAAAATTTCTGCTGCACTTAAAGTTCCTAAGAGCACAGTGGCCTCCATAAACCTTAAATGGAAGACGTTTGGGACGACCAGAACCCTTCCTAAAGCTGGCCGTCCGGCCAAACTGAGCTATCGGGGGAGAAGAGCCTTGGTGAGAGAGGTAAAGAAGAACCCAAAGATCACTGTGGCTGAGCTCCAGAGATGCAGTCGGGAGATGGGAGAAAGTTGTAGAAAGTCAACCATCACGGCAGCCCCCCGCCGTGACTTAAACCCAATTGAGCATCTCTGGAGAGACCTAAAAATGGCTGTCCATCAACGTTTACCATCCAACCTGACAGAACTGGAGAGGATCTGCAAGGAGGAATGGCAGAGGATCCCCAAATCCAGGTGTGAAAAACTTGTTGCATCTTTACCAAAAAGACTCATGGCTGTATTAGATCAAAAGGGTGCTTCTAATAAATACTGAGCAAAGGGTCTGAATACTTAGGACCATGTGATATTTCAGTTTTTCTTTTTTAATAAATCTGCAAAAATGTCAACAATTCTGTGTTTTTCTGTCAATATGGGGTGCTGTGTGTACATTAATGGGGGAAAAAAAATTACTTAAATGATTTTAGCAAATGGCTGCAATATAACAAAGAGTGAAAAATTTAAGGGGGTCTGAATACTTTCCGTACCCACTGTATATATATATAAACTATTATTAGTATTTTTTATTCAATAAGAAAAAGAAGAAGAAGAAAATAAAATCCAACCATGCATCCATCCATCCATTCTCTAAACTGCTTGTCCTATATAAGGTTGTGGGGATGATGGAGCATAATAATAATAATAATAATATACTAAAAAGAAGAAATACAAAGAAATATATTTAAACAAACAATTATAATAATAATCCATATATTCATCCATTTATTTAATAAGTGTATTAATCTATTTATCTATATTTAATATTTATCTATCTATCTATCTATCTATCTATTTAAAAGAAGAATACATGTTTAAACAGAAAAATTATATAGTTTAAAAAATAATAAAAAGAATACTTAGAAATGTATTTAAGCAAATAATTGAAATAAGAAATATATCCATCCATCTATCAATCTATTAAAGTAGAAGACAAAGAAGATGATGACGAAATATATATAGAAATATGTTTAAACAAAAATATAGTATAATAATAATCCTTCTGTCCATTCTCCAAACTAATTGTGGGTCTATAGGGTCATGGAGATGCTATAGCCCAATAATAATAATTATAATAATAATAATAACAATAATATATGTTCTGTATATTACATACAATATATATTATATATATATGTATATTATTTCTGTATATCATTACTGTAATGTTATGGGTTTTTTGTTTGTTTGTTTTGATCAGAATAAATAAAGCAAAAATAAACAATTCCATGATTTTAACACATTTAATTTATTTATGTATTTATTCATTTATTTATTTGTAATTACTTTATTTTTTTTTTTTGCATTACAGCAATGGAAACTGACATTTTTGCATAATGGTAATGAGAATTTATAGAGGGAAAATATATGTTTAGTTAATATGTTTAGATTTAGTCTCTTATGTCTCAGAAAAAAAAGGGTTTTTTATATTTTCTGTCTGACAGGTCATCCTGGGAAGTCTGAGAGTTATCTGGAGGCGATCAGGAAGAACATTGAATGGCTGAAAAAACACAACAAGGAAAGCAACAAAGAAGGTAAATGTTCATCAAAAATAAAGCACCACACCCATTTCCTTTCGGTCATGACTCTGTTATTTCACTGCTGATGAAATGGAATGGATTATGTGCTCTAATCATGATGAAGCCAGCAGGATATGTGCTCTGCCTTTCATTTTTAGCTGGTTTTGTTTGTAATATTGTTTCAATTAAACTGCATTTGCGCAGCAATTTCTACATGCTAATTAGTGGTCGCATTAGTGTAATATAGGCCAGCAGCCTATATCCAAAACACAATTTAAAGATGCAAAATTATATGTAGATCTACACATGTTGCCAAACTAAATGAACACCCATTTTACAGAATATTTGACCAAAATTAATTGACAAAGTTGTTGCTATATTTTGTAAATGACAAATGACACAAGTATACCATCCTATACTTCTAGTGAACACACTGGTAATCCGTGATAAACTGATAAACAGCCTTTTCTCCCTCTCTTTAAGCTGTCAAAGGGTTTCTCCCTAACCCAAGGTTACACATGATTTAATAAGAACAGTCAAATTTAAGACTCTTTATTTCTCATCATTTGCAATTAAAGTGAGCGTGGGTGGGTGAGAGCGCTCATGAATATGCGTTGGTTTGATGAGCTTGGCTGTGTTACAGCAGTGCAAGTCTGCTGTGTTTCTGACAATAGATCTGTGTATTCCTCTCTTCATACCTGCCAGCATGAGACTGAAACACTGTGTGTGTTCTTCAGGCATCATCTGCTCAGCTCAGAAAATGAGAGTGTTTTTTGAGATGAGAACTCTTGTTCTATCGGTTAAATTCAAAACAGACTCATTAGAGGCAGCCTGTTATCGTCTATACGGGTGAATCATGTCCAGGTCATATTCATCACAAAAGAAAGCAGAAAATATTCAGCATAAAGCAAATTAAGCCTATTTTAGGACAATTCTCATTACTGTAATGTGATGGGTTTTTTTGTTTGTTTGTTTGTTTTGATCAGAATAAATAAAGCAAAATAAATGTTAAAACTTTATTTATTTATGTATTTATTTATTTGTATTTACTTTATTTTATTTTTTATTTTTTTATTGCATTACAGCAATGGAAACTGACATTTTTGCATAATGGTAATGAGAATTTATAGAGGGAAAATATATGTTTAGTTAATATGTTTAGATTTGGTCTATTATGTCTCAGAAAAAAACGGTTTTCTGTCACTTTTTTGGTCAATTCAATGCATTCTCCATGAATAAAAACATAAATTTCTTAAAAAAATATTTCTGAACCCAAACTTTTGAACGGTAATGTAAATCACCCATCCATGTTCACGTCACATTAAAATCTCATATCATACACATCAAGACATGTGTGTGAGTGTTTTAAATACAACATGAGTCATAGTCATTATGGCCACTAATACAGACATAGTACACTCTAAATAATGCTGGGTTAAATACAACCCAGTGCTGGGTAAAATAGGGACAAACCCAGCAATTGGGTTGTTTTGACCCAGCTGTTGGGTTACTACCCAGAAGATTGGTTTAAACATTTAACCCAACAGCTGGGTCAAAACAACCCAATTGCTGGGTTTGTCCCTATTTTACCCAGCACTGAGTTGTATTTAACCCAGCATTTCTTAGAGTGTATGAGTCAGGAAGCGTGTGAGGTCTGGCGGAAACTCCACGGCTCTGTTGTGGAGGACTGTCCAGTCTTATTCTGTTGTAATGGTCAGTGGTCAGGAAGAATCCACTGGTCTATACATTTTGCCAGATCCCACACACAAAAACATGCACCAACTCACGCTCTGCTGATAGCCAGCACTTTTTTCAACCCACACAATGTACTCAAAACACTTTCACACACACATGCTGTGCCAAAAATTTGGAAGCGCCTTTATACATATTTACTGCTTTGTGAGTCTTTTGGCTTTCGGCTTTCTCCCACACACACCCACTCTCATGCAAGCCTACACTAGTACATACACTGACAGGCATTTATGGATGATCTTTGACATCCACTGATAATAAGAACATCATTTCTAGAAAGAAAACACAATCAGGCCATCACGTGGCTTAAATGATTCTAGGTTACAGCCTTCCATTTAGCATGAAACACTACATTGCTTTAACCAACACACTGATTTATATAACCCTTAACATTTAGGTCTTTAGACCTGAAGTGTTGTGAAACTGAAGTTCAGTGCACAAATAACACTGAACTAAAAAAATTATTCAGTTCATATTTTCGTATTTAAACAAAGAACAATATTTTTCTATTAAAAAAAATGTCCAAGACAAGAGTCCTGCAGAGTTTGAGCTTGATAAGGCAAATATACATTTCAACATAAACATATAAAAAAGAGAAAAGAGAAAAAAATTGATATTTTTTTGTGATGTCTCTCTTTTAAAAAATGATGTCTGAAAGATCAAACCATTAATTTTAAGAGGCAAATAGCACAATTATTTATGTATTTATTTATTGTATATATATATATATATATATATATATATATTATAATTTCCTTTATGCATTTATAAAATAAACATTTTTGTAATTGTTAATGAATATTTTTAGTTATTTAATACAACTAACAAATATGTTTAATAATGTCTCTTTGTTAAATATGATAATTTTTTAAGGGGAAGTATCAAATTATGTATGAATGTATGAATATATGTATGTATTTATCTTGTAGATATTGTAGTTTTAAATAAATATTTTATAATTTCCTTTATAGATTTATAAAATAAATTGTTTTGTCATTTTTAATTAATATTTTAATGATTTAATACAACGAACAAATATTTTTTAATAATTTCTCTGTTAAATACATTTTAATTTTTTTTTTAAAGGGGGAAATATCACTTCATTAATTGATTTATTGATTCATTCAATATTTATTTATTTTGGTAGCTTTAACTAAATCATTAGTTACATTAAAAAACTGTAATATTACGTAATTACTTAAATACTTTAATTATTATAATACTTATTACTACTTTTGTATTTAATATCACTTTGTTTTTATATTATGTAACATCACTAGAAAAAAATGGTGTAAAAACGATCTGCACTCAGAAATTGCTATTAGATTTCTGTACTGATCAGTTCCTGTCTCTTCTCTTGGTTTGTTAAGATTATGACCTCTCCAAGCTGAGGGACTTCATGGACCAGCAGGTGGATGCATACATCGACAAAGGCATCCTTGAGAAGGACGACGGTGACGTAATCAAGAGAATCTACGGAAGCCTGTAGGAACCACAAGTCCAGCTTCACATGTAACAGTGTAACAGACTTTCTACTAAATACTTGGACTGGGCATACTAACACAGATCCTAATGCTTTAACTCCTCATAAATAAGATTTAGTCTGCAACTCAGACAGTATTTCTGCAGAATAATTCCCTCCAGAAGGCAATATCCTCTCTCAGTGCAGTCAGCAATAGAACACAATCTAGTTCTAGATAAGCCACAAATCATATTTGAGTTGTAAGTGTTCTTACGCATTAGGACCGAATAACACCACTGGCTACCTAGAAGAATGAAATTCAGTGGATTGTTTTGGTATGACTTGAAAATCAGAGAAAATAGAAGCTTTTGCACCTGTCCTACTTTTGCAATAGACTCTTACAGCGTCATATGCATATATCTGTACGCAACATTCATTCACGTATGGTGTATATCATTTTCTCCTCTTATTTGATAAAGCAGATGAACCTGTATTATTCTTTCTCAACCAACCAACCAACTGGGAAAAAAAAGAAAGAAATCAGTTCGACTGTGGGTGAATTGCTTTCCTCCTCTGTTGTTGTTTTGTCTCCCAGTCTGTAAGGGGCCGTCTACATCTTTATATCTCCCTTCTCTGTCTTAAGTTTGATTTTGTTGCTCCACTATTTGACTCTGTATATTCCACATGCTATAGATTCACAAAAATCAAGTATTTTTAAATGTAAATATCGTGATTTTTCCAAAAATCTATTAAACATTGCCTTTCTTTAATTACTTAACTTCTGTGATTGTCATTTTTTTTAAAGGTTTTGACCCTCCTATAAATCAATTTAATGTTAAAAGAAAGAAAGAAAGAAGGTTATATAGTCCACAGTGTATACAATAGTTAATAATAACTAACTTGCAGTGTGTTGCTGCAGATCAGGGCTAACTGTTGCAAAGGCTACATCTGAGTAACTACAAAGTTTTCAATCAAATCTCTAAATTCATAAATTGCTTCATCCGGCAGTGGTTTAATAAGCTGTGAATTCTGTTTGTGAATAATGTTAATTATGAATAATAATGGGAATTGTGTCTTCTAAATAAAGTCACATTTATTTATATAGCACTTTATACAATACAAATACACTCTAAAAAATGCTGGGTTGTTTCAACCCAATGTTGGGTCAAATATGGACTAACCCAACTGTTGGGTTAAATTTTGGTTACATTTTTAAATGAGCTTTTTAACCCAACAGTTGGGTTAGTCCATATTTGACCCAACATTGGGTTGAAACAACCCAGCATTTTTTAGAGTGTAGTTTAAAACCACCTTGATGGTAATAAACATGAAAATAACAGTATTCATGTTGCTATATTCTTCCATTACTCTTCAGAAATGTATTTAATTTGTTAAATTTAGTTACATTTCAGTTGTAAGTTCAGCAAGTAGGAAACAAACTCATTCAACTATAAAACAGATCCAAATTCAAATGCCAATGTCGTCATATGCTGTAGCTGTAAACAAGTGAACACAATAAAACCACAGAAATTACTTTGCAGTCCTTCTTAATTCATTGTTTAAATTGTGCCTATGTATTTGGATCCATAATAGGCTATTTTATACCGAGTCATCATGTGTGTTAAATGAACTGTATATTTTTCCTGCCGGATAACAACAGAAATGCAGTGGTGTAATGTAACGAAGTAATAATACTTCGTTACAATACTTAAGTATTTTTTGGGAGTATCTGTACTTTACTTGAGTTTTTATATTTCAGCAAACTTTTACTTTTACTCCATTACAATTCCTAATTAAATTGTATACTTTTACTCCGATACATTTCCCATCCTTATTGAATAAATCAGCTTTTTGAACGAATCGGTTGAATAAATGATTCAGTGATTCACTCATTAACACAGTCAAATGCTTTGTTTCTGAATGAATCAGCCATTTGAATGAATCGGTTGAATCTCAATGACTTACTCATTAACAGTCGCTTGCTGCCACCTACTGGCGGTTTTAATTTCACATTTCTACAATTTTTTTCATGTTTTAAATCATTTCAAATATCAGTATTCAACGTTTTATGTTACAAACAAAACATTATTTATCCATCTGTAACTGCAGGTTAAATGCATCCATGTCCCCTCTGAGACCAATTAAACTGTGTGAATACATTTAAATGCTATTTCAGATGCAGATTCCAGTTTTCTTATGTTGGAATCTAAGACACTAAGTACCGGATGAAGTGCTTCTTATTCTTACCCAAAAATACAAAATGGAAGAAATCTTGCTACTCAAGCTGTGCATTAATTTTTTTTATATATATTTATTTGCTTCTTTTCCATTTTGCATTTACTTGTACTTTTACTTTCAATACTTAAGTACGTTTAAGATTTAAAAAATACTTTTCGTACTTAAGAACAATAAATATAACATACTTTAAGACTTTTACTCAAGTAACTTGACTTCAAGACTTCAACTTCTACCAAAGTAATTTTCTGGTAAGATATCTGTACTTTTACTTGAGTATGGCTTTCAGGTACATTATACACCACTGCAGAAATGTAAGAAAATTAAAGAGGTCCTATTATGCTCTTTTACAAAGTCTTGATTTTGTTTTGGGGGTGAACTAGAACATGCTCTCATGCTTGGTGGTTCGAAAAATGCATTATTTTTCACTTAATTTACATTATTACAATACCTTTCTCCCCAGCCTGACACAAGCGGCTCGATTCCGGGTTTGATGAAGACCCGCCTTCCGAAAAACGAAATGTGTTGTGATTGGTTAGCTGTCCCAGTGCATTGTGATCGGCGAAAAGCTTAGACTGTGTTTCAGTACTGCCACGCCCCTTGCCAAAGCAGCAAGTTCCGTCTGCTCCGGTATAGTTAAAGGTGGGGTATGTATTTTTTCAAAAACGCTTCAGAAGAGTCGGGCCGAGTACTAAAACAAACTTGTAGCCAATCAGCAGTATGGGGCATGTCTACTCATCATGCAGAGGAGAGAACGCTCAGTACACAGGACGGACATTAGCCGAGCCGAGGGACAGAAAGATAGAGATGGCGGATAAAAAACAAAAGAGGAAAACGTCTGCGAAACAAAAGAAGACTTATGATACGGCAAGAAGTAGGACCTGTGTAAATATCGGATCAGCTTTCCAGCGCTGGAGAGAACTCAACGAGCGGAAGGCCTGCGATCGGATGCCGAGGTTGCTTTGTTTCTTCTCGATAGGTGAGTAACACCGTGTCTAGGCAAGCTACAGCAGCACTTCTTTTTCGTCAACGTCTTGTCTGATGCACTCAACCAAGCGTTCTAACCACGACCTCGCCCCTCCTCACCCCCCAACCATTAGAATTTGCGTAGGCGGGAATTATTTTAATGATATTCTAATGGGTCGCTTTGTGGCATCACAAAACCCGGAAAACAACGCTGCAGTCCAAACGAGCCGTTCATTGTAGTTCTTGAAAAGGGATTAAAAAAAAAAAATCTAAATATCTCCCTTTGGAGTGGACTTTGAGATTTGTAACTTTGTAGATCTTTTTTAAGCTCAAACATACGCAATACACACTGACTAAAATTCAAAAAGTGAAAAAGCATAATAGGACCCCTTTAAGAGAATAATTTTAAGTACACCACTGCAGAAATGTAAGAAAATTAAAGAGGTCCTATTATGCTCTTTTACAAAGTCTTGATTTTGTTTTGGGGGTGAACTAGAACATGCTCTCATGCTTGGTGGTTCGAAAAATGCATTATTTTTCACTTAATTTACATTATTACAATACCTTTCTCCCCAGCCTGACACAAGCGGCTCGATTCCGGGTTTGATGAAGACCCGCCTTCCGAAAAACGAAATGTGTTGTGATTGGTTAGCTGTCCCAGTGCATTGTGATCGGCGAAAAGCTTAGACTGTGTTTCAGTACTGCCACGCCCCTTGCCAAAGCAGCAAGTTCCGTCTGCTCCGGTATAGTTAAAGGTGGGGTATGTATTTTTTCAAAAACGCTTCAGAAGAGTCGGGCCGAGTACTAAAACAAACTTGTAGCCAATCAGCAGTATGGGGCATGTCTACTCATCATGCAGAGGAGAGAACGCTCAGTACACAGGACGGACATTAGCCGAGCCGAGGGACAGAAAGATAGAGATGGCGGATAAAAAACAAAAGAGGAAAACGTCTGCGAAACAAAAGAAGACTTATGATACGGCAAGAAGTAGGACCTGTGTAAATATCGGATCAGCTTTCCAGCGCTGGAGAGAACTCAACGAGCGGAAGGCCTGAGATCGGATGCCGAGGTTGCTTTGTTTCTTCTCGATAGGTGAGTAACACCGTGTCTAGGCAAGCTACAGCAGCACTTCTTTTTCGTCAACGTCTTGTCTGATGCACTCAACCAAGCGTTCTAACCACGACCTCGCCCCTCCTCACCCCCCAACCATTAGAATTTGCGTAGGCGGGAATTATTTTAATGATATTCTAATGGGTCGCTTTGTGGCATCACAAAACCCGGAAAACAACGCTGCAGTCCAAACGAGCCGTTCATTGTAGTTCTGATACGGCAAGAAGTAGGACCTGTGTAAATATCGGATCAGCTTTCCAGCGCTGGAGAGAACTCAACGAGCGGAAGGCCTGAGATCGGATGCCGAGGTTGCTTTGTTTCTTCTCGATAGGTCAGTAACACCGTGTCTAGGCAAGCTACAGCAGCACTTCTTTTTCGTCAACGTCTTGTCTGATGCACTCAACCAAGCGTTCTAACCACGACCTCGCCCCTCCTCACCCCCCAACCATTAGAATTTGCGTAGGCGGGAATTATTTTAATGATATTCTAATGGGTCGCTTTGTGGCATCACAAAACCCGGAAAACAACGCTGCAGTCCAAACGAGCCGTTCATTGTAGTTCTTGAAAAGGGATTAAAAAAAAAAAATCTAAATATCTCCCTTTGGAGTGGACTTTGAGATTTGTAACTTTGTAGATCTTTTTTAAGCTCAAACATACGCAATACACACTGACTAAAATTCAAAAAGTGAAAAAGCATAATAGGACCCCTTTAAGAGAATAATTTTAAGCCTCACTGGGGCATCCATGGAAGTTTGCTGAGCCCACCAGCGGTTTTTACATTTTATGATAAGAAAACCATTTTGTGGTTAAATTTCTCTCAAAACTGATATCATTATGTGAACAAATACACAAATATATTACAGGTCTTTTCAGGTTAGTGGTTTCATTTATGGCTAATGATCATTACATTTATGATCTCTCGGGCCACTGCATAGAAGCTAAAAGCAATCGGGCTCTGATAATATCATTCACAAGAGCATTTGCTTAATTTTATATTTATTTTATATTCAACATGCAGTTTGAGATATTGTGGCTTGTCCCTGCAATCTGATGTATATAATAATGCAAATTTTGTGAAAATCACATCAGGGCTAGAAAAGTGACGTGACAGTGGGCAGCCATTTATGCTGCGGTGGCCGGGGAGCAGTTGGGGGTTCGGTGCCTTGCTCAAAGGCACCTCAGTCGTGGTATTGAAGGAGGGAGAGAGC